TGGAATCAATTGTATATCCTCTTGCTCTTAATTATCTTCATATTAAGGCTTCTAGCATCTTTTTACCAATTCTATTTATAGCAGACTGGCCTCTGTATCATGTGAAAACATAGTAAGGGAATGTATGGAACTTACCACAAAAGCTTGGGAGAATTTAGATTAACTGCTTGGGTTTTATTTGTTTGTTTTATTTTAATTGTTTTGAGAAATCAACTAAAATTTTATCCAGAATTGGAAACTGAGGGCTGTATAGATTTTCTGAGAGATGTGCTGTTTTGAGGTGACTCACTAATTAATGTTCATCTGCTCCTGTGTAACAGAGAAAGGAGACCTACTTGGGCTGAAGAAAGAAGGTTAAATGCTGAAACGTTTGGAATACCCCTTCGTCCCAATCGTGGCCGTGGGGGCTACCGAGGCAGAGGAAGCCTTGGCTTCCGAGGAGGCAGAGGACGTGGCAGTGGCCGAGGAGGGACTTTCACTGCCCCACGAGGATTTCGTGGTGGATTTAGAGGTGGTCGTGGGGGCAGGGAGTTTGCAGATTTTGAATATAGGGTAAGTATAGCAGCATGCTGTGGGGTTGCCCTTCAGAACATTTTATTTGTCTCTAATTTGGCAGAATTATTTTTAAAATCAGAATAACTTTTATTTTAACTTTTTGGAGAATGTACATGATTAGAATATTTTAATTTAAAGGACACTAATTTCTTGGCTAATGAATAAAAAATAGCTGGGTGTGGTAGTATCAAGGCCAGCCTGATCTACAAAGTGAGTTCCAGGACTGTTTCACAAAGAAGTCCTGTCTCAGAAAAAAGAAAAGGGTACTGTATTGAATACTTCTTGGTGGCATCGGGCTAAGCAGCATCTACAGTGCTGTCTGTCGCCTAACTGCTCTTTCAGCAGAAGGAAGGGAGACCGGGAAGACTGACTTTTGCCTTTTGATTAGAGCCATGAGTTTAGGTTTCATGAACCCCTGCCCCTACCTCCCCAAAAAGGAGTACTCTGCTAGCAGCTGAATTAGTGTTACCTTTTTCTGTCTTTTAAAGAAATTTTTTAAGGGAAACATACTAAGGAACACTAAAAGTATTCAGTAAAAAAAGAAAAAAAATGACTGTAATATCACCTTTATTTTATGTGATTAGATTCTTACACTTTAACACCAAAAGACTCTAGGAAGCAAAGCAAGCCTGTCCATCTGAAAGCCTTGGCTTCCGAATAGCAGTGAGTTGAGTGGCAGTGTGGTGCTGAGTGGCTCTCACACACTGATTTAAGCCTCACGTCAGCTTGTGAGATGGTTCTTATTATCTAAGTTTTACAAAGGAGACAGATACAGAGATATTAAATAACTTGTCCAAGGTCACAGCACCAGAGAGGGATGACGCTGAGTGTTGGGCCTAGCAGGTTGACTCTTGAGTGAGTCACTGCTCTTAATATAGGTTTGTAGAGAGCTCACTCGGCTCTTGTTTTTTTATCGTGGCATGCACTTGAGAGCCCTCTGCTATATTGGCATTCACCAACAACTGGAAGAGAATTTCGCAGCTCTGTGTAGTTAGTGTACTTTGTGTATAGTATATCTAGTGAAAGAGGCCTGTCAATTAAGGCAGTATTGTAACTATCTTGTTGAAGTATCTTAGTTTTTTGACAAGGAAAGAAAATTTAAAAAAGAACAGAGATCCACTCACTGGTCCTAACAAAGGACAGTTGCAGAGATTTGCTGGCTTGATTTTTGTTGTCCGGTTTTTATAAGCAGCTCTTACTGAGGATCTCTGTGCAAAGAGAACAGTATTGATGGATTGGGGACTAGGTATGTTCTTTTTAATGTCCTGGCTGTTTAATGTGCTAAGACTGCTCAGAATTAGCTTCAAGTCATAGCTCCTGTTACCCAGCCATGAATTTGCAAGACCCTTCATTCAGGACCTTATTCTGCCCAGCTGGCTTTTCTTAAAGTTGCCAGCTGCCCCATACACAATCAGTACTTTGAGCATTGACATGGGTATTAGTTTGGGCATGACTGTAAGCAAACTTGGTTCAACAGAGACAGAAGTAAAGATAGAACCACAGAGAATGAGCCAAACTAGACCCCACTAAGAGGTGAGAAGGGGGGTGTCTGGGTTGAGGTGTGGATGTAGTCAGCTTCTTTCTGTCCCATGCTTCACAGTCACCATTGTGGATGACTGAGTCCTCTGTTTCTTCAGAGGGTCCCGAGACAATGAAGAATCTGAAATGGGGGCTGGAGATGACTCAGTGGTTACAAGTGCTTGTTAACTTCCAGAAGGCTTAACTTTGATTGCCCGCACCCATGCCAGGCAACTCAGAGCTGCCTATACTGCAGCCTCGGGCAATCTTCTGGCTTGCACGGGCGTGCGCCCACATGCTAAGACACACACACACAAATAATTATTTTTTGATTGGGGTCGGGGAGGAAGACTCTGAAATGACTCCGTCTCTTTCCTTCCCCTTTATTTTCTCCTCCCTCCCCCGACCCCTTTCTCTCCCTCTCTTTCGCCTGTCTTTTTTTTTAACCTTTCAGAAAACCACGGCTTTTGGACCCTAAAAGGTCTGGATTGGTCATACTGCTTTCTGAAAGGTAAAAAAAGAAAAGAAAGAAAGAAAGCAATTGGGAGGTGTGAAAGTTGGTTTGCTGGGGACAGGGTTCACCTTCAGTTCGTTTGTTTCTGTTCCAGTTTGTCCTTTGCCATACGTGCTTCCGTTTATTAGTAACGCTGTACAAATAGTTTGGTGTTGTGCCCTCAGATGAAGTCTTCCAACCAGGAAGCGCTTGTCCTATTGTTAGGATGTGAGTCACTGAAAACTAGGTGTGGTTCCGGGCGTTGGTGGCGCACGCCTTTAATCCCAGCACTCAGGAGGCAGAGGCAGGAGGATCTCTGTGAGTTCCAGGATGGCCAGGACTGTCACACAGAGAAACCC